CAAATACAAAAGAAAGAACATATAATAAACAATATAAGCATCACAAGTACATGTTAAGAGTTTAGTGGTCACATGACTGGTTTGTTTTCATCCATAGTTTTTATCCTCCTGTTCTTTAGCGGCCATTCCAATAACCCCTACAGTACGTTTTTTATTACCACGCCAAGGTGAACGATAACCCTCTTATTTATTTATTCATTGCTCTCTGTTTTCTCGATTAGGTTTCGTAGACGTTGAATGTGATCATTTATTGAGAGAACCGAGCCAGAATGCAGATTCTCAGACACCAGGCCTCCTGGATGATTAGAAGTGGGAAGAAATCTGGTGCAGTCCATTATTTTAACATGCACAGGGTTATCTGTATCGGCACATTTTAAACCTCCTTCAGTGCAGATGTCCTCTAGAACCTGGAGGTCTGTTAGCCCACAGAGGGGTTCCTCTCCACACATTGAAGTGTTTTAAAGGGTCCTTTAGTCTAGTTGTTGAGCTCTGTTTGTATAGAGGATGCTTTAAAGAGGGTGAAGAATCCCTGGTCCACTGAAGGAGACAGTAGCCCTTTAAAGCCTCATCCAAGAAAAAAATAGGAAGAATATTGGATTTTTTAGTCTGAAGTCTTTCTTTGGCCCCTCAACAACATATGAAGAAAAAAAACTGAAATTATTTTGATCAAATTAGCGTGCAATAAGTCAAAAATATATGTTGGTGTAGTCTTCTACTGGCTGTTATCAGGTATATCTGAATGTGTACAACAGGGGTTTGAGCAAAGCTTTTACCACTGAATGATGCAAAAAGTCTCAGATCCAAAAGACTTCAGAAACCGTATAAAATATGACACATTTGGCATTATAGGGTTAAGACCCCAAAACAGGTTTAAAAGACCCCCTGAAAACAGTTTTAAAACACAAAAACAGCTTTAAAAGCCCCAAAAAACAGCTTTAAAAGCCGAAAATAGCTTCAAAAGCGCCAAAAAACAGCTTTAACCCTTTAAAGCCTGATCCAAGAAAAATAGGAAGAATATTGGATTTTTTTAGTCTGAAGTCTTTCTTTGGCCCCTC